ATAATTTCGATTTTCATCAAAACCTATGAAATTTTGAAAATTGAATTTTTATTTTCGAGCCAGTCCTACATCTCGAATATAAAGCCGAATTTTTTTCTTTTCTAAATGCAATTTTAATCCTATAAATGATGTCATGCTCTCATTTAAAAAGTATGAATAGTTGAGTAATAACTAGTGACACAGTAGTTGAGTAATAACACAACAGTAGAAAAGTTTCCATAGGCCGCGCATTTCCGCCACAAATAATCATTGTTTAGTAAAAAAGTGTCGTGAAATTTGAGCTGTATAATATAGCAATTCTAATTTGCCACACTTTTTAAACACTTTTACTAATAAGCTTACTTATGCGTGCTTACGCGCATGCACGCACGGTCGCACAAATAAACATTCCCACAACTCCAAATGAGAGCCCGTGCAGTAATGAAAGTTAAAGCTGTGGTTACGTGAAATTTACCAGTGTGAAAATACACGACCTCTCAAAATCTAGGGAAACATTTTTATAAACCGGGAATTTCAAATGACACTCGTAGGAATAAAATAATCGATTATATTTCTTCTCTTAAAATCTATTTCAACCTCAAACACAAACGTTCCTAAACAACATGGCAACAGAATTCCTAGAACCGCCGCTGACCCCTTGCAAGTTCACTTTTCTCGACGTTCTGCATCCCAGAGGCAATGTACGAGTAAAGAACGCTCAATGAAGAAAGACGGGCTGTGACCCCAATGCGCTTTGCTTCGTTCAGCGCGCGTCTCCACGACGCGAGAATTCCCCTTCGCTACGGAATGGCCTCTTGACGTACGAGCGTTGCCGAAGGTTCCCGATTGTACCCGAAGGGAACCCAAGGCGGGAGTATAGTACGCTGGGGCGCTGGCAGTGGCGGTCTTCTCCGGCCCCTACAGAAGACGCAGCCCCGACGCGCAGCTGCAGCACCGACACCGAGGACCCGCCACATCTGTTTGAAGACCTGTTCTGAGCGGAGTTGCAGGTACAGCCAAATACAATGTTTTGGTGTCAAGGGTCACTAAACGCTTTGAGGGAGGTGGGAGGCGCATAAATAATTAACCGAATAGCGATTTCTGGAATTCTAATTAAGCTAAAAAAAAAAGATATCATGAAAAAAAACACTGTAAAATGATCGACTGAAAAGGACATTGTATTGTCATTTTCTATATATTTTGATATTCGTTTTGTTTTGTGAAGGTTTTACTATTAATAAATTCGAAGCTGAAAATTAAACGGAGGGTGGTCCATTCAGTTTTATCATAAGCTCTTTTGTTTAATGGCATGGGAAGCTAATATTTATTACGACTAAACCAAGAATTAAAAATTAAATGGGCTCCTAATGGATTAAAATATCTTTAGGTTTTCTTCTGAGGCCTGCAGGGTATTTTCGAGAATAGTACATAGGTTTGTAAACGTCTTTAAGACATTAGAAAAAAAATCATTGTTTTTTGTACATTGGTAGTACAGAAGGAAATTATTAATGAATATATCCTATCACATTTAATACTGATAAACGTAGAAAAGACAATCTTTGTTTTTTAACGACCAAACTTATTAAATTAATCATTAATTCTTAGGTCCCACAACTATTATTTTCATTCGTGCAGGGGTTGGTTAAGCCAATCCATCAAATTACACGTGGGGAAACACACAAGTAGAAATCATACATCAATCTTACTTGTCATAACTATTTATTTAGTTCACATGAATACATTTCAACCAAAATTTTTTTAATCAAATAGATGCGAGTCGTTATAAAATTCAAACAAACGTGTACAGGCTATTACTGTAGACTATATTTATAACTGATTTCCTATCCATGAAGAAATCATGTAGCCTCCGGCCGTATGAGAGCTGTCAATGATTTTGTTGGATAACCAGGAAATCGAGTAAACAATGAAACAGTTTCAATTTTGATTGCCAAATATTTCATTGCGTTATCCCGGCTATTCTCATACAAGCAGTAAATAAAAGTTATGGTATGTTAGTCGTGCGAGATCTCGCTACGCTGAGAAATAATTATCGACTAAGGTAAGTCGTCTTAGATCTACAAAGAGCAAACCATGAACAAGCATACGAGCTTTGAGGTTGATAAACACGTTCCTTGAGACGTGTCCTTTTATAGAGAAATGTAGTATGCACTATTCACTTCATATGAAATGAACTGGTTTAAAATAAAGTCCATATTTGTAGGGTTGTTTAAATCTTACTTGAATTTGCAAAACGGGGTTTAAAACAACGTCATACATGGTTTCTTGGTAAATATTTATGTGCTAATTGTAAGTATTTCAGTGTTATTGGTTAATTAAAAGTAAAACAAAATTTCTTCAAGCAAAAAAGTTAATGTTAATATCAGAGAAACTTAATGATATTGTATTATATAATACTTCTTAGAATCTTTGTGGTGTTTCTTGTAGATTTTATAATACTCGCAAACAACAAAGGTAAAGAAAATACGGTATGACAAAATGTTTTCAGATTTACAGGAGTTACTTACTTTTACTATTGTGTTTTTAAAATGTAAAAATAAAATTTTATTTTTTTCTGATACTTTTTTGCTTATTATTGCCTTCGACACAGAGCTCGATAAACGCTGCTTAACTGGATCGAGAGGATCGTGGTTAAGAGGAAAAATTAAAATCACTGAATGATGCTACATGTTCTCTTATGGAGGGAATTATGCAAGGGAATTAGGGGAAGGAAATATGATACAGAAGAATCGAGCCAAATTATCATCTAGTAGTTCAGTAAATTAGTAAATATGAATCATTAAAATTAGGTAAAAAAATAAAATAATATACGTACCACGGGCGTTTACTGGGTCTAATGATCTACGGCGACAAAAAGACGAGGGCTAAAGGCCTGATGGGTTTTTGTCATCGCTCGATCATTAGAACCTTTAAAACGACCTTGGGGCATAAAAACTTTTACAATGATCATATTTTATAAAAAAAAACATGCAAATGTACTGAACTGAACTTTTTCTCTTATTGAAAATAGCTGTCACCAATGTTACATCTATGAAAACTGTACAGCGAGTTCCGTTTACATACAAGTTTTAAACAATTTTATTTCTGAAACTTCATTGACCCAAGAAAGGAAATTTCACAAAATCCCTCCCATGCGTGTGATGCTCTATAGATTAACAAATTATTTCAATTTTTTTATTTGTGGTGTCATAATAACTGTGTAGTAGCAAACAATTTGAACCGAGAATCTGATTACAGTTTCGGCTGGCTAAAGTTCAAATGAGCTGGTGTCCCCAAATAATGCATTGTCTTACAAGATTTCGTCCAACCGCTTCAGTGGACCAAAGTCGATCAATCATTTACTAGGTTTTCTAACAGAACGAATAGCAATTTTTTTCAAAAGTATATAATTTAATCCACTTTTCTAAACTACTTCAAGAAGAGAAATAATACATTACGGTATTAATGGTAACTTATCAATTTTGTAAATTTTGTAGGAAACCTAAAATACACTCTTTGATCGTACACAAATTACCAATTTGAATAATTGAATCCACTCATTGCGACTAAATTTGTTTTCCGGCATCAATTTGCTTCACTTTCTACGAGAATGAGTGATTTTTCCAGTTATATCATGCTTTGAATTTACTCAAAAGTATCATCATATGCTATTTGAATTTGTTTTAATCGTAAATTGTTATAATTATGTTGACTTTGTTTTAATTATTCATAAGTAAGATATAATTCATATTAAATAATACGTTTTAAAGTTCTTAAAAATTGCACTTGATTGCAATATTTTAACTATTTAAACAAATCGAAATGTGGAATATATAAAATTAAAATGATTGCGAAAATGCACAATGAAATATTTGGCATTATACTAATAAGCGTTGGACTATATGAATAGATTACTGAATTCGATAAATCTTCGATTTGTTAATAGATTAGAAGTAAGGATTTATTAGGCAAGCTTCAAAATTCTTGCCCGAACTTAATCGCTTACGTTTCTATTCAAATTATTGGCACCATATAGATAACGTAACTCCGGCCGCCTTGCACTTTGGCGTATTTTGGTTTTAGGGGACCCCATATTCGAGTCACGCTCAGGACCCCTGAAGATGTACCCTCCTAACTCTTGACGTTTGTCTGTTGTGTGTGCAGTGCAGCAATCAGTACTCATATGTTCGCCGACGAGTCCGGCCAGG